ACTAACAGATATCATCACGATCTTTTAATCACAATCCCATTATCGATAATTCTATGTATTAGGGAATGTATACGGAAAAATGTGGTCAGTTTATTACATATGTTTTGGTGTACACATACACAACTGTGAAGTTAACTCGAGTGAACCTTTGAGATCGTAATGAAAATATATAATTTTTTTTCATAAAAGAAACCTATCCCTTTGCGTTTCCGTTAAAATCTCCGGTTCTCTATGATTTCTTGTTCCAGTTCTCACAGTTGTCAATGTTGTGGGATGAAAATTGAACGTGTCTATGCTAAAAAAAAACTATGCAAATAAAAACTATCTGCTTCGTGGTTCAATTGTATTCAAATAATTCGAACTTACGTAGTTCCTCTCAGCATAAATATGTTCGATTACCATCTCGACAATCGGAGCACTCACGTGGAGTTGCAACACTGCTGATGTATTCAGCATACTGCCTAACAACATTCCGAAAAAAAGCGAATGCAATTAAAAGCTACAAATACTATAGAGTGATAAATCGGTAATAAAGCTCGATAGATCGATGGCTAAAGTCAATTAGTGCCTACTCTCCAATTGAAAAATTTACCGTGTCGCATGTTCCTATGACACCAATGGTTCTCCTATTCAAAAACGAACGAACAAAACATTTATCTTGAAATTTATTGTACATTTTTATCGCTACTTCGAAATATTCGAAGAAAATGTGAAGGACGGTTTTGGTTTGTTTTCTTTGGAAAAAATATAATATAATTGGATAATTCGAAACGCCCTAACGTTGGTGCGCAATTCTCAACTGTAGCCATCAAAATGCTCTTGTATTTCAGGTATTATCAGTTTGAATGGACGTCTTTATGCTAAAAGAACCTTGTTTCACACTAACTCGAGTATGCACATAGTTATTTTTACCAGAATGCAAATACGTCCAAATAAGAATTAGCAAATATCATCAAAGGAAGAGATAAACGTTAATTCGTCCTGTTTTTGGTTTTACAAAAATCATATTTTCTATCCCATTTCTCTCTCCATAGTCTCTTAATCATCTCTAATCTCCTAAATCTTCCTCGACTGCATTAGTTGTAATGAGGCCAATGAGGCGCACAAGTGTTTTTTCAACGTTATCATTCAATTCAGTGAGAAATCACAATGGAAAAACAATCTGCTCTCACACTGCTCCTCACAAGCGCCTTCAATTCCGACGATACCACCTGGCATGGCGTAGGTGCTAGTTTAGTTGTATTTCTAATAATGCTCTCATCATGCGCAAGCATACTCAACCGCGTAATGGCTGTTGGGCATTTGGAGTTCCTTTCTTATCAAACCTTTTATTGGCTATTAGACTTGTCTTATGTTTTCTTTTGATTGTTTTAAGGCTAAACTGAATAGTTCCTTTACCATTTGTTAAAGAAAAATACGCTAGTTAAAGATTTTGAGCACATTATTATCTTGAAAGTATGTATTACCGCCAAAAAAAACTCCTTCTGGAGAAGGTAACATTTTTTTTAATAAATTTTAGTCGAATGCTGTAATCTTAACAATGTATTTCAATGAATTCACGCACACATGAGTAAAAAACCTTCGAAATAATGCTCGTAAGAATGCAAGTTAATTTTAGTGGAACATGAAATGACATATAATAACCTCTTATTAGAACCATACGAAAAAATTAGATGTAAAATCAGCCATATCAAAAAAAATCCTCAATTTATTTTTTCTCCGTAGACTTCACAATAGAACAAAATTATTCGTACGGAATTGAAGAGAAAACCTAAGCCTAACGACATTAGACATTTCTTAATTTTTTCTCGTGTTTTATTTTTTAACCAAAATTTGAACAATATTTTCACTTGAAATCTTGTGAAAGTGATCTTCATGATGAAAGAAAATTTACAGAAAGTTTCAAAGTGGTGTTGGTGTTGTTTTCCGTTAAGGCCTTAATGAGATCTCAAAATCTATATATTATCAATTGATCGATTGATACAATCAAAAGTTCTTTAGAGTCACCTCGATTCTCTTGTATAATGGTAACCAGCGACAATAAATTCATAGACTCCGCACTAACAGAAAAATCAATGTGGTTGAGTAAGGCAATGTCAAATTCACAGGTCAACGATATTTTTCACCCAATGATGGATAATGAACAAGTAGTTGAGCGCAAATTCAAGTAAAAATTGTCTAAAAATGACTGGTGAATGTCAAAGTTAGCCATTTTCTAATCGCAGGACGAGTTTTTGCTAGTTACATTAGGATTGCTAAACCGAATGCTCAACTATTTTGTCATCAGACGTCATTAGGTGATGCTATGCGTTGACTTCCGATAGGATATTTTACGCTGTAGGGTAGATATCAGTGCAGAGTGTTTAATATGCATGGGCTTGGGCTAGTTACGGTAGTCACAGAATCGCGTTTTGATTATTGCAGACTATAAATCAGCAAAAATAATGAGATTCGTCCAAACACCAAGCCTCCGCGTTCAATAATAACGGATACATCGTCCTTTCGTAAACACCGAATTTAACGTCATCCACCGCGGTTATGCATACCACAGTTTCTTTCCTCTTGCTTTCATCCGTATTTAAAGTCGAGCAGCCAGTGCACAATGTATCATTTATCTATGAAACCAAGGTGAAAAAACCATGGTATGCACTATTACGGTAGATGACATCATGTACCGTGGTTTTCTAAGGATGATATCCCCGACTTAGAAACAATGGGTTAAATAGGTCTTCTTATGTTTTGCTAATCTGCGGGCTGATTTTTGAAATTTATAGACAAAGCATTATACAAAGAAGACGGAAGGAGTATGGAGGTATCCTATTGGTTGAAATGGTTGGTTCCTTTAGACTAGAGGAGAAAATGATAGGCATGGGTTTCTCGTGGGTTGCCGTTAGTTCAGTCTATAACCTAATTTTTTTGTCCATTACAAGCACCGGCTTCCACCTATAGGATCCCTTCACATTCCTTTTGTCTTTTTTGTCTATAGCTTTGACTATCAATTACAACAATCAGCCTGCTGTAAGTTGTAAAGGCCTGGATACACGCTCAAATTTCCATCAATTTCCGATCAAATGGTAACTGGTGCGCACCATCTACGCCATTTTCGTCATCCTTTTGATCGGAATTTTGAGCGTGCCCAGGCCTTAACCATCAGAGTAAAATTATATGACCAGCGCAACTACTGATCCATTGTATCTGCACTGAAAAAAAATTCTCGGCGTTTTTACCAAGGTCCGTTGGTACCTTTACCATCTCACTTTTTTTTACCAATTATTGGTAATTTTACAAAGTCATACTGGTAAGCTTACCTAAAAACCGGTATTTTTACTGTTTTTTCAGGTAAGAATACCACTTTTATTGGTAATCAATTCCCGGTAACTTTGCCATTTTATCTCGGT